AAAAAAAAAAAACAAAACTAAGTTTTAGGTTCTATGTCTTCTTAGTAACATGCTAGCTTAGATTTGATACTCCTTTCTCCTCCACCATTTATGTGAGAAACACTTCCAACTGCTTAATTCTCACAGACAAAGCTTTTTGTGTCTTTAAAATTGCATTTTAAAATGACCTAATTTTCAAAATTTGTGAAACTGCCTGCCATGAGCACACTAGGAAAAATTCCCTCTAACATTAACTGATGAGAAAAATTTGATAATTCTAGCTTTGAATCCTCATGAATAGTATTTTGACACTGCAGCTGAAATGCATTTATTAAGTGAAAATGTTAAGTAGTAAAAATGATGACTATCGGGGGGAAAAAAATTCAAAACAATGCTATACTCAACAAAATCAGTTCTGAAAAAAAAGTCTCTTTAGAGGAAGATAGAGCATATTTTCAGAGGTCATACTTCCTGCTTTGCCCAGACAAATTCCTATTTTTATGCAATAGTTCTTTAAAAGCAAAGACCCTTTTTCCTACTCTCAAAAGCATTCTGGTTTGGAAGACAAAATAAAAAAAACACATACATACTTAGCCCCCAATTAAAACAATTAATTAAAATTTCTATTCCTTTATGCTGGTTTGAGTTACTACTATATCTACTACATTTGCATGCTGTATGACATATATATAAAACTTGCTTTCTAATAAATGCTCAGATACTGAAATAAAGGAATCACAAGAAGCATACCTTCTGGCATATTCATTCTGGCCTGTGCCAGTAGCTTGTTCTGGATCCATCCCCACAAGACGCGTTGGAAAACTGCAACCATCACCTAAGCTGCATAATGAAAAACAGGAGTAACACCATTTAAGTTCTACGGAGCTGAGTCAAAGGGGCCAAATGTGACATGACACCTGTTTTTCAGAGGCACATGGTATAAATTGCTATTAACATAATTTCAGAGATTAATTATTAAGATTTTTAATTTAGAGAGTATACTTTGCTTTTTTTTCTCTGTATAGTCTTTTAAGTGGCAAAAATCTCTTTGCAGGGGCACAAAGCTTTTCTTGATCTATGAACATCAAATCAAGACGCACACATCACAATTAAGATAATGAGATCCAGAATACAACATCAAAACTAGGCACGCAAGTATTTGGGGGAACTGAATCATATAGGCTAGAAGTGAAATCCAAGATTTAAAAATCTACATATTTATTGACTCAACAAATAAGTCGCTGGTTGTGTGTGATGTTACAGGTACCACTTAAAGCACTAGAACTGTAGATGTGAACAAAAATATCTCTGCTCTCATTATCATAATCAGAAAAGCTGTGTAGCTATCTTTTACTTTGCTGTTCTACAAACATCACAGCTGTACACAACAGGGACTTCCAGGCAAGATGGATAACTGGTAAAACAAGAAAGCAGAACAATAGAGAAAACATCTGTTTGCAACCACGCAGAACAGACAGCACAGTGCTCTCTGAAAGAAGAAGAACAAGCCAAATGAAACCCAGCTTGTGCGTCTCTGCATCGAGATGACAGAGGTGGGGGTTTGCTGAGCTGTAGGGGGTTGGGAGGGTACACGCACAGAAAGTGCTACAAAGATCTGCACAAGGGTGCATATAAATCTGACTAAGTGGCACATACACACTTCTGAGAAAAGAGATAGGAAATGGAAGCTGAGCAGTTCAAAGTTCCCACGAGGCTGGGGACGTACAGATTGGCCCAGCATGAGCCAAGACATCTCACACAACATGCCGCTTTGTGCCAGTGGACTTTCACTTCAATTGATGTGGTTTTCAAGGGAAAAAGGGCATTTTAACTCCAAGTAAGCTCAGCATAAGCCTCAAAAGGACTATGCTGAAACACAAACAAAACCTGACAATACAAAATTCACATTCTTTAAAGGAAGACAATAAAACCCAGAGAATTCAATATGCTAACACCCAAAAGGCCCAGTATTCCACAAAACACTACTAGATCTGCAGATCAGCAAGAAAATGGGTTCTGTCAATAGAATAAAAGCTGGTTTTTAAAGGAAAAAAAAACCAAAAAACAAAACCCCAAACAAAAACTTGGGTTTTTCTCTGAAAGTAGGAAAAAAAACCCAAACTCCAAGCACCAGAAAAACAAAACTAGAGGGAAAAAAAAAATCCACAATAAAAGCCCAGAAATGACAGTGAAAATTCTAAAGACTATCAAATTGATTAAAAATATGTCTGTGCAAACAACATATGCTGGTGAGGTTGTGGAAAAACTGGAACTCTCATTCACTGCTGATGGGAGTGTAAAATGGTGCAACCATCCTGGAAGGCAGTATGGTGCTTTCTAAAAAAGTTGCAAATAGAAATACCATTTGACCCAGCAACTACACTTCTGGGAATATACCATAAAGAAACCAGAACCACCACCCAAGCAGATATAAGCACACCCATGTTGATTGTGGCTTGCTCACAATAGCAAAGAGTTGGAAACAACCCAAGTGTCCATCAACAAATGAATGGATAGAGAAGTTATGGTATAGTCACATAATGGACTATTATGCAGCACTGAAAAAGGAATTAATGAAATATTATACAAAGTGGGTGACTGTGGAGGATATTATGCTTAGAGAAATATCTCAGTCACAAAAGGACAAACACTGCATAAGGCCACTGTTATAAAACAGGACTAATATGGGTGTTGGAAACAGAAGAGGGAGAAAACTGTATAAAAGGAATATATGATTAGGTATTATTGGCATAGCATGAGTCCAGAATAAGAGCTTCGTAGTAAAATGGACTGGGATGGGGTGGGGTGATACTGTATAACAATGAAAGAATTTTTTTCCCCCAAAGACAAAAGTGAACTGTGAGGGGACAGGGAGGAAAATGTGCAACAATGACTGAATGGAAATCCAAGTTCTCTACAAACTTTCACCAAAATTTCAAATAAAAAAAGGATAAATAAAAGTGTGAATATTTGTATGAAATGACTAGAATGAACAGAGAAACGGGAGGATAAAAAAAGAATTGAACTGAACTTCTAGAGGTGAAAAAAATAGTCTCTAAACTAAGGATGCATGGGATTGGTTTAATGGAATAGACACTGGAGAAGGTGAGTGAAATAAAGCAACAGAACCTGTCTAGTGTGAAGATGGAAAAAAAACAGGGCCTGGGACAAAATAACAATGACCAAGAGTCACCGGAAGCCACCTGACACGTGTGTGGGGAGATGCAGGAAAGATGTGGCTGGGGGGAGGAGGATGGGAAGCAGCAGGTAGAAAAATTTTTAAGATGGAGAAGAAGTATTCAAATTTGATGAAAACTATAAACTCATTGACTGAAGAAGCCTAATAAAACTCTGGTAAGATAAACACAGAGAAAACCACCCCAACAGACAATGTAATCAAAGTGCTTAAAATCTGCAGCGAGAAGGGAAAAAAGGGGCACATTACAAACCATACTGACTTTTTGTTAGAAACAAAGCAAATCAGAAATGGCACAGTATCTTCAAAGACAGGGCAAGGTTTTGGTCTGCTGATCATAGGGCATCTGCTCTTTTTCATATGGTGGTGACTATGAGTTGTAGTTGACTAAATGGTACCTGAAAACAATAAATCTTCAAAGGAAGAGGAACAAGGAGCAAACTACTGGGGACTTTGAATCTTATGTTTAGGAAAACTATCTTCTTAAAAGAAGGGTTAAAAAAAGAGGGGTGTGTTGTTTTCCAAAGCCGAAAAAAATATGCACTACAAGGGCACTGAATATAGTACACAGAAGGAATACAGTAAATTAAATTATCCAAAAAAAAGAAAGCATTCATGAGTGGTGTAAGAATTTCAAAACCAAACCAGTTGCTGTTTTTTACATACTGATCAAAAGGGAGAAAATTCTCATAGGCTTTCTAGAAACTATGGAAGGTAGACAATAGATTTCCATACTTAGTTGGGGATGAACTGTACTATTTTTACTCCAAAACTAAATGAGAATATATATACTTGACGATATTCATAGTATCTTTCATCCCCTAAAGGCCAATGATTTTAGGCTAGCCAAAGTCATTAAGAGAAAAAAAGAAAAATTTAGCATTCAAAT